AAAGGGTAATTTGTGTGAGCACGTTTTTAAGGTTGTTTGGTATTTTAGGGAAAAAAGTTCGGGCAGTGCTTCGGTCAGCTTGTTACAGTTTAATCGGGGTTTGATTGATATGTTGAAATGTCCGCCCGCTAATTCTTTTATAAGGGATCATGCGGTTTCGTTAGCGGTTTGGGTTAATGAACAGCTTCGGGGGAAATTTGGGAAAAGTGGGAGGGGCGAAATGGTAAATTCGTGTACACGGATGGAAGTTGACTCGTAGTAAAATGTATTTATATTACTTAACACATAATAGCAACCTACTTTTTTCCCTTAGATTTATTTCGAGGGTTCAGTCAATGTTGGTTGACTTGGAACATTTTTTGTTCAATTCGTTACAAGTTAAAAGGGCATCTTTAATTGTTATTTTTTCAAAGATCTATTACTTATGTCATATGAGTTTTATATTAACCTTTGTTTATTAAAGAGTTACGTATTATTATTTATTATAAACTCTCTTTAGTGGTTAACTTTTGCAAAAGCTTTTTTTACCGATTTATCTTTATTATCTGTGTGTTTTATACTTTTATAAACTCTTTTCATACGGTTTTTATTTTTTAAGTCTTGGTCGAAGTTTTGAAAAATAACATTAGTTGATATTAATATATTAATTAATAAAAAAACAGTAAAATAGTATGTTATAACAATGTTTTTTAATCATTGGTATTTGTATAATTTTGAAATGTTTGACGGTTACTTTTTTTATAAATTTTTACAAAATATATTCAAATCTATTTTGTATATTTAGTTAAATAAATTGAATAATAAAAAATAACAAATATATTAATATCTAAGTATAATTATAATGTAAAATAAATTGTTATAAATTATAAAAACCTATAAAAAAGATTAATATTTTAATAAATGGTCAGAAAAGTTTTTTATAAAAGCATAATAATCGGGTGTTGCTAAAAAAAACCCCACATTATGGGTCATATGTGTGTGAAGGTCAACACATGCAAATGTAATATGGTTTTCTTTAATAGAAACGTTAAAGGAAATTGTATAGGCCAAATAACATTTATTAATGATTTTTCAACTCGGTTGATCGATTCCATATGAAAAGTAATGAGAAATTTAAAATGTTACATGAGTTTATTAAAAATTTAAAAGGATGTGAAAGTTTTAAAGTAATATAGCCAACCAAAGTTTGTCTCTTTAGTAATATAAATATTAGATATTAGATATTAGATTTCTTTTAGGCTTTCTGTTCATTTGATTTAATAAAAAAATAAAAATTCTAATGCATGATGAAAAAGTTATATAAATTAAAAAACAAATATCAAATATATATATATATATATATATATATATATATATATATATATATATATATTAAAAAACATTGAAGTTATATAATATTTTATTGTTTTTTATTTTTTAATTAGATTTTCAAAAGTTCTATTCATTTTATAGTTTAAAATAAATTCAAGATACAGAGTGAGGATTAGGACATCAAATCATTTAACACACAACAAAACAAACCTTTAGTAGTAAGAAGTGAGAGGAGCAAAGATCGAAGCAGATGGTAGGGGTGAGCAAATCCAAACCAAGAAACCGAGAAACCGACTAAAACCGACGAAACCGAAGTAAAACCGACGGTTAGGGTTTGAATTTTTTAAAAACCGAAAAATCGGGTTTTGGTTTCGGTTTTTACTCAGAAACCGACCCATCCAACCCGAGAAACCGACCCATACTTAAAACCGACAAACCGCCCCAAGAAACCGACCCATCTAACCCGAGAAACCGACCATTGACTGTGTTTTGGTTGTAATAGACTATTTCGGGCTTTGGTTGTAACTTGTAATAGACTATTTGTTGTAAGACTCATGTTTTTTGAAGTATTTAACTTAATTTTGGTATTTTTTTGAAGTATTTAACTTGTTTCTTCATTTATGGAAAATTGGTTAAAACCCAAAACCCATGGGTTTAAACCCAAAACCCGTGAGTGTATGGGTTGAACCCAAGAAACCGAAAAACCGCCCAAACCGACCTTAGAACCCGAGAAACCGAACCGACCAGAAACCGATCCTATTGGGTTCTGAAAACCAGAAACCGACCATTTATGGGTTGGGTTGGGTTGGGTTTGGGTCCAAAACCGACCCATGCACAGCCCTAGCAGATGGAGATGAAAGGATGCAAAGATCATCGCAGTCAACTAACCTAATTGAGAAGACAGAAATCAGGAAGAGAAGTAATGATGTGCATAGGCGGTGGAGCAAAACTATTGGTGGAGCAAAACTATTGGGGTACACAGTAATGGAGTTACATGGGGCGTTAGGGGTACTATAACATTCCCAAAAGAATTATTTTATATATAAAAAAAATATTTGTAAACATGTTTATTGTTATTGTAACCCCAACTAAAGAAATTATACCATGTTTTTTAATACCTAGGATAAGATAACTAAGACCGCTAGTAGTGGGCAACGCCCTTGGGCGTTATTTTGAGGTGGCAATCAAAAAACGTCGGTATAACGGCTGGAACACCGCCCCCCTAAGCTGTTATACCGCGTTATGTTAAGACGTGTTTTGGTGATAACGTGTGCAAACGACATTTTTTTGATCCAAAATTAATTTCCAACGGACACATTTTGATTTTGAACCGTTGTAAAACGGTCAAAAACGTAAAAAATATATATATAAAATAATTTTTTCAATCTTTTTACCTCTTTTACACCTATATATATACATATACATCTACCTTATTTTTTTATCTACAATCTTATATCAAACCTTTTAATTTCAAATCTTCAAAAAAGTTCTCTTTTCATTACTATGGATCAAAACCCCAACACTCCTACTCCAAATACAAATACACCTCTGCCTCTCGGTTTTGCATAATACGAATTTTACGCGAACATCCTCAACATTCAAGGCAACTTTTTCAATCCCGTCTTACCCCACCACAATTCCCTACAACACTTCCACAAAAGATTTTCAACCCATTCGCTACAATGCAACAATGCGGACATGGATGAGATACCGGACGACTTGAACGGCCTTGAAGAGATCTCCTCGCATCGACGACCGATAGGCCGCAACAAAGTGAGACGTGCTCAACGACACGCGGAGGAAGGTGAAAGTAGACGTCGAAAGCAAGCCGAAATGAAACAAAAATTTGACGATCACAACGAAATCGTGCGTAAAAGATATGAATTGCAAGGGGATCATTTGGAGTTTCTTTGTCGTGAAGCCGAGGAAGATCGCATTGTGAAAGATCTGACAATTCTTCAAACTAGCGAGGAGAATTTGCCACCGAGACGGTTGGAGGTGTTTCGAAAAATGAAGGCGAAGATCGAACATAAATATTTAGACGAAGATTAGTGTTTTTTTTCCCGTTGTAATGTTTTTTTTTTCGGTCAATGTTTTTTTTTTCGGTGTAATGTCGTTTTTATTTTTTTTCGTTGTAATGTCGTTTTTAACTAGTATTTATTTTAATTATGTGTTATTTAATTTATATGTTTTTTAAAAATTATTATGACATAAATTAAAAAATAAAATAAAATAGAAAAATAGAAATTAAAAACATCAAAGAAAAAATAAAAATTAAATAGAAAATGATAGGTGTTATTACATGTTATTTGATGTTGTCCATTTCCATCTTGGGTGTTATAACACAAAAAGTATGAGTAGGATGATGAGGTTGACACTTTGAGTGTGATAATATGTAATAACATGTTGTCCACACCCAGCAGCTTAAATAAAATATATCTTGACAATGTTTGTAATCCCGTATCAAAATCTTGGCTCCGTCGCTGGGGGTACGAAGGCAATGGAGCAGGATGTCGATGAGTTTAAAGATTTTTACCCATAGCCAATGAGACGAAATCATGTTCGTAAATCATCTCTCATTTTTTTATAAACTAAAGGTATATAATACCTGATAAATGATAATATCATTTTTTTTTACTTTTATTTTTTGACATTAAGGTGTTGTTTGTTTTCGAAGCGAAAATTCATGAAGTCTGCGGACCACCTCTGCAATCCTCTGCAACAGAAGAGGTGGAACAAACGACTGCAGCCCATAATAAGAAGCATGTTTGTTTTTTAACATCTGCAGACTGCTGCAGTAAACTGAAATTTAAATAAACTAATTTTATAAACTTAAAATAGTTCTCAACACCGAAATTTTAATAATTCTAGTCTTAAAACATTGAAAGAGTACTAAAAAGAACATGTAAAAAAACAAAAATATAAAACTTTTTTTAAAAAAAAAACTTACAAAAATATAAAAGAAGCTAACAACTTTATTCTAGAAAAAAAAACTAATTTTAAAAAACATAAAAAAGAAAATAATAAAAAAAATTAAGAAAGTATTGCAAACGATGTGTACAAAGTTCGTAAAAAATTACACACGTTAAAAAAGATGAAGCTGAAACTGAAACTGAAAATATTATTAACGGAAACGGTAAAAAAATTAAAAAAATCAAAGCTTTTTTTTTTTTAAAAAAAATTAAGTTAAAAAAATTTGTGGAAACTATAATAAGAAAATGTATCAAATCCGTAAATAAAAGTTTTTTTTTTAAATGTTTAAAAAAAATAAGTTATACCAAAAATTCTAAAAAAAACTTCAAAAAATTGAAAGCTGAAGAGGTTTGAAGAGGCAAGTCAAGTGCTGCGCCACGCAGCACACGCGCAGAGGTTTTGCAGTCTGAAGTCTTCCAAAAAACAAACTGCTGCGAGAGGGAAAGTGTTGCGCGTGTGCTGCGCCGCGCAGCAGAAAGTGGTTTGAAGAGGTTTTTCTAAAAAAACAACACCACATAAATGTCTATTTTTAATTATTGTCTATTTATTTTAATTATAACACCAATATGACAAAAGTTTCGCCGTACCAACCATTTCGCGGTAGGCCATGTTTCATAGCACGAAAGTCAGCTTTGGAGACAAAAGTCATTTTGCCGGTGGACCCACCTTTTCCTTTTAAGTACACTTTAAGTTCTAATTTACCATATAAACCATCTGGGATTTTGACCATTTCAGACTTAGGAAAGAAAATCTAGTTGATAGTGATTCACGACAATGATTCTCAGGAACAGTGTCTCTCAGCTTCTTCATCATCACCACTCTAATCAACTATCTCGCGTTCTTCCGCGAAAATCTTCTTCAGGTAACCTAACGCTTCACTGTTTTATCCAGATTCTGTTATTACTTTATGTGGATTTTGATATCCGAATGCTTTTGCACTTGTTAATTCGCAGAAAACAATCGCATCAAGCTCCCAATCTCTCCACACACCCTCTCTTTATCTTACTCCGATTTTCAATTAAAACGTAATCATTCCGATTCCTATGCTTCTGCGTGTTTAGTTCATTTAGCGATTGGGTTTTGATGATAATGTTGTTGTTGATGAGATGTAGGTTGGGGTTCCAGATTAGCGGTTCATAGGCGTGTATCTGGAGAGTTTTCTGGTGGGATTGATCAGGATGAACATGAACCTCCAAATTATGCACAAATTTCACCTCAGGTACTAACTTGTTACTCATTTTCTTTACATTTCATTGAATTCGAGATTATTTTGTGCGCCAAACATCTAATTCGTGACCTGAAACATGTGCATCAGATAATCATGCCTACAAAGAATGGACATATAATTTTACATTTATCAATAAGTTACTTGCTAATTCGAATTTAATCATTTTGTCCGAGATAATCAGAAAATTTAGATCAAAATCATCTTTTATCAAGTACTCCAAACTGACTATTTTAACTTCAAAAGCACATCCAAACACACCCTTTGGTGATTGCCTTAAAATATGATTGTTTTAAAGTGACCAAATAAAAAAAAATCATATAATGTTGTCATCAGATTTTCGTTGCAATTTTTTTAGTGTTCACCACATAAATTTTGGTCAATGTTACCCAAATAGTTCTTTAGGACATGTATTGTCACATCCAAAGTTCATGTCTTAATTGGGTGATTGCTAATCAAATTTTATCCAGTAAATTTCTGATAATATAACTAATAAAGCAAGAAAAATAGTGAGAATACATGATATGATGTATTCTTGTTATTTGCTATTTTCGATTGAAAGGATGAAATATTTTCTACTTAAAGCTTTGATGCAATGTGTTTTTGGTTCTTGTTTAAGTCCCATGAAAATTGCAACTATCCTCTATTTGGTTATCTTCCATGAAAATTGTCACAATTCTTTTTTAGACGACTTCTCAAGCTAAATAAACTCATGTAATGATTGTTTTGAAAAAACCCATGTCATGGATGAAAAAATGTTCAATAAATGTGTTTTTCATGCTAATTTCATTGACTTCAATATATGCTTTGGCAGAGACTTGATCACAAGACATCTTTTGTGGAAATTCTAAAGAAAGCCAACTTTGTATTGCCTCACGTAGTTCTTGCTTGTACAATACTGGTTCTTATCTTTCCACCATCTTTCACATTGTTCAATAGCAGGTTAAATAATACTTCCTTTTGTTCCAACTTCCAATATATTAGTCCCTTTAGGCCCCCATTTCTTACACAAGACATGACCATGTGAAAAAGACATTAATACCTTCTTCATCCTCGTCATAAAAAATAATCCTAGAAAGCTAGCCTGGTGTCCTGTCATGTGTAACAAATGCAGCCTTATGGTTCTGACAGACTGAACTATGCTATTATTATAGTTGATTATACATTTTAAAAAAAATGCACTTCTATTTTTATTTATTTATTTATTTTATTTTTTTTAACAAAAAAACAAATTTCAGGTATTGCACTCCAGCTTTATGTTTCTTGATGTTTGCAGTGGGACTTAATTCAAGTGAAGAAGATTTTATTGAAGCTTTCAATAGACCACAAGCTTTTTTTGCACGTTATCTTGCCCAATTTGTTCAAAAACCATTCATTGGTTATCTTTTTGGAACATTGGTCATGACAATCTGTGGCTTTCCAACTTCCTTAAGTAAGTGTCACCCTCTTTCTTTTTCTTTTTCTTTTTCTTTTTTAGTTTGTTTATTATTGCAACTAGGTTAAAACCCGTGTGATACACGGGACTAACAAATTAAAATAGCAAAACTAATACATAATAAGTGGTTTGCAATAAAAAAAAACAACAATATTCAGATCTATTTGGATGAATAGGGAGAAAGAAAGAAAAATTACACTGTTCTAAATCTCTTCATTTCAATGGAATACAATAGCAAAAGATAAATAGGGAGAAAGAAAGAAAAATACATAATCACATGAGTAGAGAGAGACAGAGAGTACATTTACTTTAAAAGTTGGACATATTAGAATTTGTATATGAAATTGGGAAAGAATGGCAGGAACTCGTAGTGCTATATTTTAGCTTTTACCATATATATTTACATGAAATAGTTTTTGGGAGAAATTCTATCCATTGATTCATTTTATGTGTCTTGTAATTAATTTTTTTTTCTGTTGGATCAAAAAGACACATCAACTTAGGATTGCAATCTGTGTGAAAGGAGATGATTGGGGTCGCATTAATGGTTTTTGAGTACACTCTCCTTGGGGCAAATCTGCAATGCATCAAAGAGCTAATAAGCTCTAACTTACAATTTAGAAATTTAAAATAAATGAAAATATTTTGACAATATATACCTGAGGCTTGACTTCAACAATAAATTGATCACTTTTGACAGCAACGGGTTATTTGCCAAGACTCTTTCAAGATGATGCAACATCTCTTTTTCCTGAGGAAATACAAAACCCATATCTACATCCCGATTATGCCATACCAACGCATTTTCTTTAGTTTCAATAGAATAATCAGGTTGATTTTGTATGTAGTTTCATCACAGGTTCTGCCATTTGCATCCATCCAAAACTTTACTCTAACCACAAATTTCTCATTCTACATCTTGAGACCACCTGAAAATACACACCCATTCGTCATGACACATAAAAGAAGTTCTACATACAAATCTATTGTTATTACAACAATCTTAGGAGAAAACATGACACAATATATTGCCCTGTCACTTTTCAATACCATCATAAGTTCATTAATCAAATCCATAATCCCAAAAAATAATAATATACGAAAGAAACAAATAAATCACTTCCCAATAAAGCCTTAACAGATCTGTAGGTGAGTTTTTTTCAAACACCAGCACACACACAACACAAATACAAATCACACTCATAAACAGACACTAACACACACATATCAACAATAGTAATTCAAAAAAAAAGTTTGGACAAGCACCAAACTTTACCTTTTTTGTTTGATTTTTGTTGCAACCAAACGAAGCCTATGTCTGTAAATGTTACAAACTGCAAGGAGCAAAAGATCTAGGGTTTTGAAAACCAAGATATTAAAAGTTAAGAAAAATTGCAGCCAATAAACATAGATACATACCTCTATCAGTGGTTCATTGTCAGATTTCTGGTTAAAATCGCCATTCTACCATTAAAATATGGAATCTGAAAATGCAAATTCTCAAATAGTGAAGAGAACCCAGTGATTACAATGAAAACATTAAGGGAAATAAATCAAATAGAAATAGAGAGAGAGTATATGGAAAGTGGTTGAAGATTGCACCGTGTGATTCCGGTGATGACCCCATGGTGGTAGGTGGTTGAAGGCGAAACCACCACCATCAGATTGCAAAGGTCGTTGCGTAGGGTTTAGTCGTAGTTGAGAGAAGATTGTGGAAACTGGTATCAGTATCAGTTGATTGAATCCACTATCCAACCCCAAAAATATGGAATAGCCTTTATATTGAAACCATATGACATCGTTCGATTGAGAGAAAAGGATAGAAGAGTTTCATACTTACTTTTCATGTTCACGATCACAAAGAAGAGGAAGAGAGATATAGGGGAAGGGAGACGATATATGGGCCGGAGATAAGGGATTTCAAAATTCAAATTCCATACCTTTTTGTGACCTATCTATATCTGCAGAAATAGAGAAAATGAAGAATAAAATACGAAACGATTACCTACATGATTTCGTGGATTTATCCGAATATTACTAATCAACACGAAAATTTGGGTGATTGAGGAGCTGTTCACCATGCGATAGCAATTACCTCACTTGGTTCAATGATTTCTCCTAGTGAATAGTAAAAAAAACACCCTTCTTTCAGATGAATTAACAAAAGGAAAACCAAAATTAACATATGTTGCAGGACTTACAAGATGTTCTTCTTCTTTAACAAAGTGATTTATATATCAATCTGATCAAAAAAGGCAGAAATGATTGAACAATAGAAGATTTCCTAATTTCTTGCTGAATCTTTTGGATATTATCGATTATTCATAATATGTTTGACTTTAAGCCTTTAAGGGTAAATGTGGAATTTCAGTTAGATATTTTGAGCGGGAAAATTAGCTGGGGGAGGGGCTTAGCAATTGCGACGTGACAAAAATCTACTTATTTATTAGATTAGCGGAAGGGGATTAGAGACCAAAATGCTAAGAATACCTGTATTTTGGGCCTGACTACTTTATACATTTTAATAATTATTATGCTTATTATGCGTGTAATGTGTTTAGGTGCTGGGATTATGCTAACATCTTGCGTCAGTGGGGCCCAGCTCTTGAACTATGCCACTTTTCTAATGGACCCCACAATGGCTCCACTAAGCATTGTTGTGACGTCATTATCTACTGCTATTTCTGTTTCTGTGACCCCACTTTTATCACTTTTGCTGATTGGAGAGAAATCGCCTGTTGATCTCAAACAAATGATTTCCAATATTTTGCGGATTGTAATTTCACCTCTTGCTGCTGGATTGCTTTTTAACAGGTAAGGAGACATTCGTATGAATACATTATAGGGTATTTTAGGTATTTACTTAATCTAGTTTGTTATGATAATTGATACAATCGGATGCTCACCAAATACAGTACAACCTGTTATGTCATAGACCTAAAAGTTAAACTCGGTTTCTTTTTCTAGAATCTTAGAAATTTTCTTTTCTTTTTTGTTTCTTACGGATGTTTTTTTTTCATCTACAGATATTTGCCAAGAATGTCTAGCACCATACGACTCTTTTTACCTCTTTTATCAGTTCTAGTGACTTCACTATGTATCGTATCTCCCATTGCTATTAACATACACTCTATTTCATCATCTTTTGAGATAACGCTTTTGGTGATTTTTATCGAGCATCATTTATCAGCATTTGTCCTCGCAAATACATTTTTACTGGCATTGTTTTCCACAATTCACTTGATGTCAAACCACTTTAGAGACAACTATCTTACAAAACAGGTTATTTATACTTTTCTTCTATCTAGTTTTCATCTTTTGCTTCTTTTTAAACTTGCATTCTTTACTTTTTGACACTTGACTATAGGAAATAACAACGTACGATGTATATTTGTATTTTGTCCAAATTTGATCAATATTACGTATTGTTGTGGTTGTTTTGAGCAAATTGCATGAAATAGCAACGTACTTTATTCTTTTTACAATATGCACAATGTATTTAAATTTGTTACCCATAATAGCAATGTACTTACATTTTTTTTTTACAATAATAGAACTTGCTTACATTTCTTTACACATAATAACAACATACTTTTAATTCTTTACTGATAATAGGAATATGTAACAAATAAAGTACATTGCTTATATTGGTAGCAAAATGTAGTTACATTGCTATTATGGGTAGAATATATATATATATATATATATATATATATATATATATATATATATATATAGTAGATAAATGTAAGTACTTTGCTATAACGGGTAAAAGTTATATAAGGTTGTTATCAGGGGTAATAAAATACAAGTATGTTGCTATTGAGTTAACTTAGGGTTTTGGTATATGTTTCAGGTTGGTAGAGATGAAGGGAGGAAGAAATCTTGATGCAACACCTTCTCGTTTTAAATAAAGAGGTGGGACCCTTGTATTTAGTTCTAATTTAATACTGATATAAATTGAAATAAAAAAAAAAGATAAAAGATAAAAAAAGGATATAAATGTCATTTTGCATGGGTCAGTGACCAACCACGTAAGAAACTGAAATCCTTGTAATATAATACTAATATACGTTGTAATTAAATAAAGAACGATAAAAAATACTAAAAAAGATATAAAGGTCATTTTACATTGGTCGGGACCAACCACGTAAGAAATTGTAACCATAGGGGTCATTTGCGTCAATTAAAAAGTTAGGGACATTTATGTGCCATTTATGATCTTGTTTGCTTGGCAACGTTCATATGGATTTTGTATAATATATATAAATACAAGGTATAGTTTTGGCACCGTTATATGTATTATTTATTATTAATTATAGAGTTTGTTATTTATAAACTAAGAATTTAACCTTAATAAAAGCTTATTAAAACCCAAACAAGATTATAATAAAAAATATCTTCTAGTTACAATTATAGTTTAATTAATTTCATGAAATTATAAACATGTTTTGTTTCTATAATTAAAAATGGATTATGTTATGTTTGTGCAGGTTGTAATTATGTGACTAATGGGTTTTTCTCTTGTAATATTTTGTGGTAAGTAGAAGGTGTAATCGTTGTGAGTTTAAACAGTTTTGCTAACTTTATAGAATTATATTTATGAAAATTGGGCATTTTATATTGGTTGTGCTTTTGCAATGATAAATGTGCATTTTTCTCATCTGATGTTTTTATTTCGATTAAACGTGTGTTTGGTTCATAGATTTCGAAGGAATTTGGAGAAATTGGAATGTAAATTCCAATAAAAATTGCATTTGGTTCACAAAATTAACGGAATTGGAATTCTTTAAATTACATTAAATTCTGTGTCCGAAGGAATCCGTCATTCTATGGCTAAAGACAAATTTTTTATTTCATTCCATATGTTTTATTAAAAAAGCAAAAATCATCCCACACAATAGCAATCTAGTTTTTCGTACATACCTGAGATTTATTTCAAGGGTTTGGTTAGTGGGGTTGACTTGGAAGATTTTTTGTTCAATTCATTTATTCGTTATAAGTTAAAGACATCTATAAAGGTTAATTTTTCAAAAATTTATTATTTTTGTCATATCAGCTTTACACTAACTTTTATTTATCAAAAACTTTTTATAAACTCTTTCTATGGTTAACTTTTGCAAAAGTTTTTCTTAGAAGTTAACCAATTTATCTTGTTCTTTCTCGTATATTTTATAAACTCTCGTATAAATTGTCTTTTTAAGTCTATGTTATAGTTTTGAAAATAACATTATTTGATATTAACATGTTAATGAATAAAAAATATAAAATAGTATGTTACAACAAAGTTTTTTAATCATTGATGTTTGTATAATTTTGAAAAGTTAGACAATTACTTTTTTTAACGTTTGCATTTTGTTGCTATGTATTGAATTTTTATTACTTGAATAGAGAAGAGACAATGAATTGATCTTTTAACGTTTTATTTTAAATGATATATCATACCTTGCTTAAGATCGATGAGTCTTTCGTTTTTCGTTTAGTCGTCTTGATTAGAGCTTTCGTGTTGATAACGTTATATAAATTTAGCGTAACCACAACAACTTCAAATAAACTAAACTTTAAAAACTTGGATGAAGAAGAAAGAAACTTGAAAGCTTGGAGAGAGTAGAGAGAGTTTATAAAACTTATGAAAGAGTTGATATAAGGTGAATTTCTTCATTACAAAGATGTGGTATTTATACTATAAATTTTACTATATATAATGGTTGCAAAAATCGCTAATTGGCTGCTAATCGGTGGACTAGCGATTAGGGATTAATCGGCTAGGCGGGGATTAATCGGAAGATTAATCGGGGACCATTAATTATTAAGAAAATTATTCAAAAATTTATAAATCTAATTTTAATCCTACAAAAAAGCGATTAATCGGCGATTAAGTCCGATTAGGGCCGATTAGGTCCGACTTTATATATATATATATATATATATATATATATATATATATATATATATATATATATAGAGTCAATATCAAATAAGAAGGAAATTTTTGGTAGGAAGGTAAGAAGTTTTTTTTCTACATATTTTTTTCGCGAACAAACAAAATGAATCATTAGATGATTCATTTGTAAGATGATTCACATGAAAAAATTCTCAAAAAAACATCTCGATGATTCATTTATACAATGATTTTGTTGTTATTCACTAAAATTGTCATAAAAGTGAATTTTTTCTTAATTTACTTAAAAATGAATCATAAAGATGTTTTTTTGGGAATTTTTTCTTGTGAATCTTACAAATGAATCATCTAGTGATTCATTTATTTTGTTCGTCAAAAAAATATGTAGAAAAAAAACTTCTTACCTTCCTACCAAAAAAAATTTCTTACCGGATCTATATCCTATATATATATATATATATATATATATATATATATATATATATAGTTGTTTAATGATGAATGTAAAATGTTGAAATTATGTTGTCATTCACCATTTACTTATTTTATATATATATATATATATATATATATATATATATATATAGGGTTAGATTATTTTGTTTTTAGTAACTATTGTGTGCAAGTATGCACAGATCTGGACCATCGGATGGAATATAATCAAAGGTCATGATTTGAGGGTCTATGATAGTAGAATAGGATAACATATACTATATAATCACACAAATTTCAGCATAAGGGCATTTTAGTCAATTAACCTATATTAAAAAAGGAAATTTTCGGATTTTTAGGGATAATTAATTTCTTTATTTTTAAAATCTAAATAGTTTAAATTAATTCAAAATTAAAAATCTGATTTTATTCTGTCAGAATGATAGAATGTTAACCATAAACTAGTAAATATATTTTTCGATTTTATTCTGTCAGAATGACAGAATGCAAACCATAAACTAGTAAATACATTCTGAAAAGAATACACAAAATAAATTCTTGAAGTAATTATATACCAAATAATTACATTGTATGATTGTGATTCATTAAATAATAACAACATTCTGAAAGAAAAAAAGGAAAAAAAAACATTAAAATCTAACAAAAAACACTAATCTATTCTAAGAGAATATTATTTTTTAACAACACTTTATACATTGTAGCATAACACATTATGGTATAATACACTCTCGTTCTCTATGTTTTCTCCACATCAATGTTAGCCTCTTCAAAACCTAAATCCACAAAGAAAACATAATCAAGTTTCAAAAATTAAAAAATTCAATGCATTCTAAGAGAATTACAACTATAAATTCTGACAGAATGTATTAAAGACTATAAAGTTTGACAGAATATAGTAGAAAATAAAAACTATAAATTCTGACAGAATGTAGTAGAGACTATAAAGTCAACCATAAAGTATCACAAATTCATTACCAGTTACACAAATATACTTGTTGTTGACAATTATTCTCAAACATTCTAACAGAATACATTTATATAAAATAAATTCTAATAGAATACATTACAGAATACATTACAGAATACATTTATATAAAATAAAGTCTAACAAAATAAGAAGCAGATCGTCATTAACCAAGTACAAACCAGTTTATTTAGAACCCCACTTCAAAACATATTCATGAATTACAAGACATATGTTGTCAAAACTAAACCCAAAACATGAAAATTATTAAAATTAATTTAATAAGAAAACCTTCAAGATTGAATGAACCAAAATAATTATGAGTAGCCTTAACAAATAGGATGTAAAAAAATACAACACATGCTAGTTATTGTTTTTGCTAGAAGGTTCTTTGTGTTCTTGTTTAATTATATGATAGCAGGTTCTTTGCTAACAAATTGAGATAATGCAAAAGATTATTTCTTCAAGGAACACCCACGTGAAACTTCACCACAAATTACACAAGCATTAACGAACAGGAGCATTATAAAATAATATTGATAAAATCATCATCAAGAGCATTAGTAAACATGAGCATTTAAATCAATACCACAACATATTATTTGGGTTTAATATTGATAAAATTATCAGAAGCATGAACAAACAGGATGAAAAAATACAACGTATCAGAATTTAATAGGAAACACTCAAAATTTTAGAAAAAAAAAACACAATTAGCGCATACCTGTGGAGAATTG